AGGGGGCTTGGGGGGGGGGGCTCTGTAACTTACCTGGCTGCTTCTTGTTCTGACTGAGGGCTGCTGGGAGCAGGGGGCGGGGCTTGTTGCATGTGCCCGCCCCCTGGGCTCTTTACTGCCGGAGCTCCGCTCCTGTGCGCTCCTGCGGGAAATGACCCCTGAAGAGAGCCATCCATTTGCACACCCCCTGTGGGTCGTGATGTTCCCTTTCCATATTCTGGGGGTGGGGGTGGGGAGTCCTGGTCCTGTGCGAGGGTTCCCAGGCGCCAGGTGGTGTGTGGAGGTTTCCCAGGGTGACAACTGATCTTCAGGCGACAGAGACCAGTTCAACTGGAGAAAAGGGCCGCTTTGGAAGGCGGGCTCTATGCCATATTGAAGCTCACTGAAGCCCCTCCCCTCCCCAAACCCCGCCTTCCTCAGGCTCCACCCCCCCAAACCTCAAGGTGTTTCCCTATCGTGAGCAGGTTGCTCCGCCACGTAGCCAAAGAAGACAGTGCTTTACACTCCCTCCCCCAGCTCAGAAGAACATTCACTGGCTGGTCATTTCCAGGATTAACAGACGACTTTCTGCATTCTCCTCCTTAGATTTGGCCTGGGAGATCGGGTGGAGTCGCTGCGGAGGACCGGAGGCGGCCCTTTGACTCAGCACACTTTGCCTTTCTGTGGGTTCAGTGGAAGCAGCCAGGAGGCATAACTGGCTGAGCAGGCAGGGATGCCAGCCTCCCGGTGGGGCCTGGGGATCCCCCGGAATTGCAGCCGGACTCCAGGACGTTATACCCCTCTGGGGTCCTTCCCCTCCCCAAACCTTGCCCAGGCTCCCCGCCCCCAAGTCTCCAGGAATTTCCCAACCTGGAGCTGGCAACCCTGCTCAGCACCGGTGTTCCCTCTAAGCTGAGTGAGTGTGAGCTAGCTCACAGTTCTTTAGCCTCCGGCTCACCCTTTTTTGTCTTAGCTCAGGAAGGAGGGGGCTCCAGAAGAGCAAACTGATTTCTGCAGCAGCCGAATCGCTCGCTCACCACTTTAATGCCAGGGGCTCACAAAGTAGAATCTTTGCTCATGGGACTCCACAGCTGAGAGGGAGCCTTGCTCAGCACCCACTACTATTCCACTGTGAGACCCTTCGGGTGCGCTCCTCCGCAGGATCTAGCCATGCGCGCCTCCGAGAAACCTCCCAGTCCTGCTCTGGTACGTTTTGCAGCCAAAGGCAGGAGAAATGCCCCCTCAGCTCCACATACACACACACACCCCCGCCAGCCCCACTGTCACCCCCACCTCCTCTTCTTCCTGATGCCACGTGAGGCTTTCGGCCCCACCCCACTCAGAGCCCTGCATCCCCCCACAGGAAATGAGAGCTGTTGACAAGGCAGGGAAGACAGATGGCTTTTCTTTATGCTGTGCGGGGCCACCACAGACGAGGCTCCGCCTTCACCTTCTCGAACCGGGGTGGCCTCCGTCACTCCCAGCAGCTCAGCAGCCAAAGGCGCCCGTCCGTTGCCAGCTCTCGGCTTCTGGGGCCTGAGAGGGGGGAGGACGCCCTCCGCCCCCTCCGGAGGCGAAAGGGCCAGCCCCCCTACTCAGCGATGGCCGTCCCTTGGCATGAGGGGCCCCCTCCCCCCTGCCCCACCCCGGCCACGCTCTCCAGGGCCCGCAGCCGCAGCATGAACCAGGGGACGAGCACCGGGGACTCTGCCAGGAGGGTCTGCAGGCCCTGCTCCATCTGCACCCAGGCCTGGATGGCGGTAGGGTTGGACATGGCGGCCGTCATCTCCGGGCTCTGCATCTGCTGCGAAAGGCTGGTCACCTGGTCCTTGATCTGCTCCTGCTGCCCGGCCCGGGCGTTCTGGGAGGCCAGCAGCGCGTTCTGCATGAGGGAGAACATCATGCGCTTGGTGTAGGCGTTGCAGAGGTTCACGATCATCATCGGGATCTCGGCCGGGTCGGGGTTCGGGCTGAAGGGCTCGGCCCCCGAGCGGTAGGCCAGGTGTGGCGTGGAGGGGCTGTGCCCGAGGGGGGCCGCGACCCAGCCGCCGGAGAGGCCCCCCTCGTCACTGCCCAGGCTGGTGGTGCTGGGCGAGGCCAGCGGGTGGGGCGGCATGCCCTCCTGGCCCTGGAGGGTGCCCTGCTCCGGGAACGGGCAGGGGCCCCTCCCCAGGGTGGCGTACGGGCCGAGCACGAAGCCGTCCTGCGCCGGGTTCGGCCCGGGCTCCTGCATCTCGCCGTTGAGCCGCCTGAGGGGGTTGTCCCCTCCGGGGATGGTGCTCTGGAGGCTGACCAGGGCCTGGTCGGGACCCTTCAGGTCCTGCACCATCTCCGGGTTGCGGGCCAGGTCCATGATCTCCCGCATCTTGTCCAGGATGACGCGCATGATGTCGGCGTTGTTGAGGATGTGGCCGATGGACGGGACCTGCTGGGCCAGCTGCTGGATCTCCGGGTTGGCCAGCCCTCCCCACAGAAGCAGCACGGAGCATGTTGAGCAGTATAAAAAATGTCGCATAGTAAATTGCTTTTTGGATTAGGACTGTAACCTTTGTTTACATTTTGGGCCAGTTTGGTGTCGTGGTTAAGTGCGCGGACTCTAATCTGGGAGAGCCGGGTTTGATTCCCCACTCCTCCACTTGCACCTGGCTGGATGACCTTGGGCAAGCCATAGTTCTGTCAGAGCTGTCCTTGAAAGGACAGTTCTCGAAAGAGCCCCCTCAG